CCAGAGGTAGCCTCGCTTCCCTACGGATCTGCACCTGCTCAAGGAAGGGGTCGTCTGGGTCAAAAAATCATGAACAGATAGTGATCAAGCAGTCCGCCTGGGCATATGAGGCGAGTTTGAGAGGTCCGGTTGTAGATGCTCTTACAACACCTAGTTGTCAAGAATCTTGAATTGTTCTGAATCATTAGTTATGTAAATTTTTGATTGCATCTAACTTCATATTTGACTATTGAGATTTTGTTCATCGGACATGCATTTGTCAATCAAAAAATTTATACCTCAAATGTTTCGCCCCGGCTAAGTTCAATTCCTGGATCCGCCACTGCTTACATGTACCGACGAACTAGCCGGAGCACAAATTACACAAGCTGCTACTATGTACAATTAGTTTTTCCCAAATGGAATTGGAAGAAAGCCATATATATACTCGGCATACTCTTAAAAGTATGCCCATACAAGAATTTTATATCTATAACCACCCCAACAAATACCTGTTTTATTAAGAGGCGAAATATTTGGAAGGATGGAGGGTTAAGACTTGAGAACTATTTCTATAACAACCCATTTACAGCAGAGTAAGGGAAAAGAAATATGTTTCATTTGAATTTGTAATAGGTACACGGCAAGCCTCTGAAAGAATGTTGATTTACATGGATTCAGAGCTTTTTGATCAAGTACCTTGACACAGAATAGAAGGTTGAGTCCGCATAATGGGGGAGCTTATATCTACAGGGGCATCAGTCTCTTGTACTTGAAGAACCAGACGAAGAAGCAGAAGATGAAAGCGCCAACCACTCCAGTAATGATCAGCACCCACTGGAATGCATTCTGGATGCTGAAAACGTCGGTCTCGAAGTTCATCCCGAATACCCCCGCGACCACTCCGAAAATGGCGACGACAAATGTTGCAGTTGTTAGCAGAAGCTCAAACTGGATCAGCTGATTCCGGACGTTGTCCTGGGAACGGGAGGATCAAGATTAGCTCGATTAGTATGGAGACCAGCAGGCAGCAGTATGTGAAATGCATAGATCCTACGTGCATTGTCCCGGGAACAGGAAACTCAAGGTAATTCAGTTAGTTCAGAACAGCAGGCATCAGTACGTGAAATGCATAGATCCTACGTGCTGGTAACTTGAATGAGAAGAGTGCGAGATATGCTGATGTACCAGCTGAATGTTGATAAAATCTTCGGTGTCATCAATATACTCCTTCAGCTGAAAGAAGGAAATAATTAATCATACACCTTCAACTCCAAGTTATAGAAAATAATAATAACAAGATATCGTGCAATTTTGAATAAAGGCGACTCATTACCGAGGTCAGCTTGTTAAGAGTGCTGTCGATGACTACAAAATATGCTTCCAGTAACATTTCAAGCTCCTCAATATGTTCAGTCACTGAGTTATCTGAGCTCTTTACACTATCATGTCTACTTCTACACAAGCTGTAGGTTTTCTCCAACTTCCGTGATTCTGTGGGTGAAGAGACTGGAGACACAGGAGCTGAAACTGAAGTCCCAGCGGCTGCCGCGTTGAAGGTTGCCAATGACTGATCACCAAACACAGATGATGATTCCATCCTCATCTTTTTCTCGGTAAGATACATCTCAGCCATATCTCCATCATCATCCATTAGCTGTTCTATTTCATCCCTGACCTATTGCAGGATACAATGGCAATTATATAGCAGGAAAAAACTTAAGAAACAGATTATCTGAAGAAAAAGAGAAGCATGATTCCTATCAGAATGCAAATTTACCTTCTGAACTCTTCTGGTCAGAGCGACTAGTCTACTTTTTAGCCGCCGAACGCGTTCCAGATTTAGAGTACTAATTTTCGATGTTAGCTCGTCCAGTAAGGGATATGCTTCAATTTCCAATTCTGCTGCCTGAGAAAGGCAAAAATGCAGATTCAGACATGCTCCAATTTGAACTGATATCAAGGAGATCATCATGTTTTGGTGCAATAAATATTATTTCCAATGAACTTCATGAGGTAAGAGGCTGCCGACCTTCAGTGATACAAATTATGTTTTCATAGCTAAATAGTAAAGATTAATAGCATATAAGTTAGCATGAGCTATCTATGAGTATCTCAAAGAGCATGAACTGTACAACGTGTAACCTTTGTCACTTCTGCAACAAGAAAAGCTAGAGAATCACTGCAGCATTGTTTATAAGGCGTCCTGCTTTAGACACTTAAGCATCGCTTAAGCGATAAGGCGCCCTGGCAGCGCCTTAGAAATATGCCCACTTTAGCTTCAGGCGCTTAGGCGTCAGGGCGGGTGGTGCTCGCCTTAGGTCGCTTTACCGCCTTATAAACAATGCAGTGCAGACATTGGTACATAATCATGTTCAGGTGAAGGTTCTTGTATGAAGTCATTACAAGATATTATTTGTCAATAATAAAAGCTCTCAATGTCCTGGTTAGCAGCTTTGTGAATAAACTACGAACAAGCTATTCTTGCATCCATTCGCTAATTATTGACTACTGTTTTTTCAAACCAAAAGCATAACTTCCATAATACATCCCAAACTACAGTGTGAAACTACAGTTGGAGCACAGCAGTACACAGTTAATCTCTTCTTTGGATTGTTGTGCACTGGTGCTACACTGGAATAATAATGTACTCCCTCTGTCTCATAATAGAAGAGCGTTTTTTACACTAGTGTACTGTCAAAAACGCTCTTATATTATTGGACAGAGGGAGTAGTTGTGAAGAATATTTACCAACTCTAGTAAAAAAATCGTTGTTATATTCCCATCAGATAGTTGTCAACTGATCTATATACTAGAAAAATACTACATTCAAAGTGCCATTAAGAAAAAATAGCTATGTCAAGCAAAGCATAAATCTACTCCAGTTCTCTTGCAGGCAATGTTAGCTTACTCAATATCAAGATTAAATAATGAATTGCATATTTTTCTACCAAAAGAACATCATTGGCTGGTCTAGCAAAAGAGAAGTCAAATGCTAATGTCCGTGTTAAATATTTCTGTATAACCTCATTACACAGTTCAAACAGTTAATTTTTTTCCCATTACAGAAGGTGTCTCCAGTCCCATATAGTGCCTCATAAAAACTCCCAAATCAAAGTATGCAATTATAACTATATCCAACCGGCAAAAACCTCGCACAAGAATACCACATTGGAGAGGGTTGAGGTATAAGCATACTCCCTCCAATTACTGAACAAATATTTCTGGTGAACATAGAATCAATTAAGCTATTGGAGATTGATAATGTAGTGACAAGATTTTAACAGAGAAAGAATCATTGTAGTGGTTATAAAGGGGGGAAGGCATCAAAGAGAACGCCTGCAGAAGGAAAGAATATGCACATAGGAAGGCAGTGACTTCTTAAACAAGAAATCGTCACATCTAAACACTTACATAGTGAGCCTTTTCCATTCAAAGATCTATGTTGGTAGGACTTTTCTTCTTAGGCCTATATTTCTCATTCCAATTTTAAATCAGCTTAGACTTTCATCCCCTTTCTAATGCATAATGCACCACAGATGTTGAAATTTCAAAAGGAAAAGAAATGCCACGACCTGAATCTTTAATTACAGATGTAGCAGACTGATGCTAACTATTCATTAAATTCTTTAGTACACCTCCAAAGGGAGGCAGGAGATAAAACTGCAACAATCAGTTATAAGTTTGATCCAGCTGACACGGAGGAGCAAACCTATAATCCATTGTTTGGTTAGGGGGCAAGGGAGTTGAGGAGGGAAGGGGAAAGGGAATTAAGGAGGCCAATTCTCACGTACCTCTTCCCTGGTGCCCTACTAATGCAAGTGGGATAGAACTTCCTCTCAAATCCCACACACATACACCAACCATGGGTTTGGGACTAATAACCGATTTCCTGAAGCATAATCCCCCAATAAAGTCCCATTCCCTTTCCCCAAAGTAGCCAAACACGCTTTGTTTCTTGGGGATCCAAGGCACTGACCCCAAATTTAGTGTTTGCCTTACCCACCATGACATCACTTAGTATCTAGTATCAGACATTCGGATGAACTTAGCCCACTCCAATTCTACGATCAAATTAAACCGCAGTATTGCAGAAAATCTATACTACAATAATTATGGGATCGTCGTACCATGACTAATAAGTAATCACAACAGAAGTATATACAGTGATTTTAGAGAGGGAGGGTGGCGTGGGTACCTGGGCGTCGAGGAAGGAGCAGGCGGCCTCGAGGGCGAGCTCGAGGGCGCGGAACTCGAAGGGGAGCTCGTCGCCCTCGGCGCGCTGGAGGAGGCGGCGCTGCAGCTCGGCGGCATACTGGAAGACGTAGCTGTCGAGGGAGTTGAGGAGGAGCACCTCGTCGGCGGTGATGACGCAGCGGATCTGCTCGAGGTTGACGACGATGGCGCGCTCGCGGCCGAGGACGGTGGAGGGGTAGACGAAGAGCGGGTCGAGGAGGCGGAGGTCGCGGGCGGGGAGCTCGCAGCGGCGCATCATGGTGGCCTTGTCGACCTCGAGCGTCTGCACGGAGGCCGTGGCGGCCTCGACGCGGATCCAGCTGCGCGTGCCGCCGCCGCGCTTCTTGAGGTTGGGCACGTCGAGGCCGCCCGGGAAGCGGCGGCCCCCGGCGAAGGAGGCGGCCCCGCCCCCCGGGGTGCCGGCGCCGGTGCCGGTCCCGGAGTGGGGCACGGAGGGGAGCGCGGGGGACGAGGCCGACGCGGCGTGCGACGGGTACGCGTAGGGCTGGTGGTGGAGGAGCGGCTGCTTGACGGCGTCCGCCATGGCCGGCGCCGCCCGCCGCCGAGGGGCGTGATTGGTTTGGGCGCGGCGGTGGGGGATGGGATGGGCTCCTCCCTCCCGGCTGTGGGGTCTTTTCGCGGATGGGCCCCTGGGGAATCCGGGATTTGGAGGGCGGTTCGTGCCGCGTTGCGGGCTTGCGGCACGCGCTGGCAGTTGGGTTGTGTGGAGTTCAATGCGCTCGCGTGCTGCTGGATCTTTTCTTCGTCAGAGAATCTCTTGTTTTCTGAGAGATTTGTTTTTTTTTTTGAGGGTTGAGAGATTTGTTTTTGTTTGGGAGAGAATTGCGAGAATCCCTATCACACACATAAGCAAAGTTTCTTCAGATTTTTCTTTCTTTAAGATCTTATATGACTTTATTCAAACTCGATTAAAACTCACATGCAATGCTTTGGATCATAGATCCGGAAAACTACATGGTAGCTGCTAGTATAACTGAAAACTACGATTAATTAATGTTGTGTTATTTATATTTGGGAGCGCAACTCATTATCAACCTCTTGTGTAAATGTTCATGTTACTGTAACAAGTGTCCTTGAGAATCTTCATGTGAAACGGAATAACAGTGCTACATTGGTAAAAAAAAATTAAGTGAAATATCTAGAGGGCAACATTTGGCGTTTGACTTGTTTCTTTTGTATATCAAATCAAAATGCTTAAGTATTTCCCCTAAAATTTGCAAGTAGAATTTAGGTGTGACAATGAACACATATATTTTTCACATTATCTTGAAATTTTTAAAATACGTTTTTGGCGCGCGTGAGCATATGCTCCCTAGAGCCAAATTGAATTTCCGCATACTAGCACATTGCACAATATGTCTACATCTAAAACGATATGTATTTGCTAACTAACCTGCAACTGCAAAACTGAGCGGCCAGGGTTTCTATTTCCCTCCTGCATCCTTGGCAGCTAGGGCAAACTCTCCCATGCATACTTTGTCGGCGAGCCCATGGATTCGCCTCCCCTCTACTTACCGTTCCGGCGACCAGTGGCTGGGAGGGGAATCCCGCTGCCTCCGCTCCGGTTAGTACTTTAGGTTAGGGTTTTTTAGTTCTCACAGGTGCGGCGCTTGGTTGGATGGCAGCGCTTCTTCTTTGAGTTTGTCTTCCGGACTTCGATCCCCCTCGAGTTCGTCCTTCTGGATGTACTCGACGGAGCTCCGGCATAGATTCCTGTTGTATCCATGGGGCGGTGAGGTTAGGGTTTCTCGTCATGTGGCGAGATTTGTTGTCAGTTGTTTCAAATTTGTTCAAGGGTTCAACGACCATGACTGCGGCTCTAGGGAGTTAGTCCTTACGGGCACGTGCACGAAGACTTCCCGGTTGTCATCAACAAGGTCAAGCCGGCTACGATATGGAGTGGCGACAATGGCGCGACGGCGGCTCATTCTCGTGGCGGTAGTGATGGTTCGGTGGTCTCGGTATCTTCATGTAATTTTTATTATGTTTGAAGTGTTTTGCACTTCCGGTGAACTTTGATAATTTATCTGAAACATCTTCACAAAAAAATGTTATTGCCAACTAAAAGCCGATGTTTATTGTTTCATTATGATGAATGGCGTGTCATGTGTTTTTTTTTCAGCGATGGTTGTGCATTTTTTATTTCATATTTCCCCTTTACATGACACCATAAAATCCTCCTTGTTCTCCTAAAAAATCAGTGTAGAAGCAAAAGAAAATTTAAAAGGGGCACACCCATATTGTCATGATTTGACAATAATGCACAAAAGTGTCACGGTTTACCTAGAAAGTTGACATGTAACAGTCTGCACATGTTAGCTAGCTATCATTCACGGTTCGCTGTCAACTTTTTGAAGACTGTTGAGAGCTGTTCATGTCGGTTGCGGGTTACTTTAGCAGGGAAAACATGGGGCGAAGAACATGACAGGTTAGGCAGGAGAGCAGACGGCCGAGTTCAAAATGATTAAACAAAGAAATTGGTTGACATCTTCAAACAAGAACTAAAGTTGTACTTCTTTTATAAAGAAAGGGAAATATAAGAGCGTTTAAGTATAGATAAAGATCAAGATCATGTATTATGATAGTCAGGAACGTGAGGAATCCGTGAATGAAACAAGCTACTCCCTCCATCCCATAATGTAAGACGTGAGTAGTAGGCACCGTTAGAAGAAAGCGAGTGACAATTTGTTTAATCCGGCGCCAATAGAAAACAGAGAGGGACCCCTTTACTTGGCGTCCTCTTGACGGAAATGGATCCTCTAACATACACAAGGGATGTTAGAGAAGCTACAATACCTTAACTTTTCTTCTGTTAATTCATATAATTAAGGCTAAAATAACTTAAGCCAATTTTTAAATACAGATCTAGTATGCACATTCATAGTAATTACATACAAACAAGCTGATGGTGATATAAAATTAATTTTGAATTTTTTATGTCTATAGTAATTACTAAAAGTAAATAACCTGCTAATAGTCAGTAACATTTCTTTTTCAATTTACACTAGAGAGTGCACTGTAACACCGTGACTTCCCTTCTCTAAGTTAGAGGATCCGGCTTCCCTCTTGACCGTGTGTTGCCACCGACCACTTCAGTGTGAAAGCCTCTGAAACAAAAACATAGATGAATAAGCAATTCTCATGCAACGACACGTCTCGGACGCGAGATACTGACGGGAAATCAACTGTGTGGATCAAGACTCCTGGCATGTCATTGGGATTAAACATTTGATGTGAACTTGGAGGACGAGAACTGAATAGTTTGTGAGCTCTACTAACATTAAAAAGATGCATCTTTCAATGCCATATCTTCTCAGATCCAGATCAACAACAGCGCCATAAATCTTCTACCCATGTAGCAGCACGTGACAGATGCAAAAGAAAAATGCAAGCAGGATCAATCAGAACAAACGGCTGACATTTTTACAGTGAAGAATTGAACTATTTCACCAGCAGCAAGTGTCATCAGTCAGTGTGCCATTATCACTGAAAGCGAAAGAAGCGTTCCTTCCATGGAAATCCAAGGATAAGAGGCGTCCCTGAGCCACAATTTGGATCAATTCCTCCGATGCTTTTCCCTTATACTTCCTTCGTCCTAAATTTTTTATTTTAGATTTGTCTAGATACGGATGTATCTAACAAGGACGATGAGAGTATTTACAATGAAAACAAAATGTTCCAATCGAGTACAATTTGCTAGAACCCTAAAATATCTGCATCTACTACTTCCCCCACGATAAAACAGTAGAGAAATACGCAGCCACACACGTCGTGCGAATTTACAGTGTGATGATTGCCAACGCCTCTGTCACGGCACGGCAAGGAAGAAGATTTCAGAAGTCGGAGAACCAGTCATCCTCGTCGTCGTCCTTGAGGTAGCGGCGGTAGCGGTCGAGGTCCTCGTCGGCGAGGCCGTAGCGGCGGCGCCAGTACTCGAGCCTCGCCTCCGCCTCCCGCATGTTGCTCATCACCCTCTGGTACGCCGCGTTGATCCGCTCGAAGTCGATGCTATTTTCTTGGGCGTTGTCGCAGCTGTCTCGCCGCACGACGTCCGGGTGGTACTGCAGCGCGAGGCGATGGAAGGCCCTCTTGACCTCGCCCCTGGTGGCCCCCGGCGCCAGCCTCAGCGTCCGGTAGTGGTCCTCCTCCAGCCCCCCTCCCGCCGGCCTCCCCGGCGCCGCCCCGCGCGCGCTCCCGCATCTCACCGACGAAGACGACGCCGTCCCACACCGCCGCGCCGGCGCCGCTGATGCCGACGGCACGCGCAGGTTGAGCACCACTCCTCCTCCCGTGGCCATGGATGTAGCCAAGAGATCAAGAGAACACGAGATCGATCGAGTTGTGTGATGGAGCTCGTCGTTGCTTCGGATCTCCCGATGCGTTCGCTCTGTTACCGCGTGGTGGAGCTGGAAGAGATGGTTGGAGCTGGAATGGTTGGAACTTGGAATGAATGTGGCTGCCGCGTGGGATTTAGGCTGGTCATAGTGACAGTAATTTATCTAGTAACATAACGTTTTTTAAGATAAGTTTGTTTATGTGGCATGTAGTTAATAAGGAGATATGTGTTTGGAGTAACATAATATGTTACTGTAACATAACAAAATCCAAAGCAGAATGCATGACACTAGTCTAAGTTACTCTCCACTATGAGTAGGCTTAGGCTAGTCATAGTGAGAGTAACTTAGCTAGTAACATAGCGCACTTCAAAAAATTGTGCTTATGTGGCAATTAATTAATGAGAGGTGGTAATATAATATGTTATTGTAACATAGCGTTTTTTAAGATAAGATGAGTCTACAAGCTAATAAATGAAGTCATCTAAAATACTACTACTATGTTACTTTGTATTATAAAGATAGTAATTTAGACTAGTATTATATGCATGACATTAGTCTAAATTACTCCTCACTATGACATAACATATAATGGAGGAAAGGCGGTTGGCTCGCCGGAAGGAGCGGCACGCACGGCTGTTTTGCCGGAGTTTTCCACGTTGACGTTGGCATTGCTCGCACGTTTTGGCACGGACGAAACGAAACTTGGCGCGGGGGAGACGCCCCGGCATCACTATCCATTCCGTTTCCACATCCCCGGTTTTGACTGGGTTGAGATAGTCCATAGGCAGGAATGCAGCTGTTTTGGCGAAAATAAAGCTTTCACGCGATTTTTTTCCCGAAGTAAAAAATGTGTTTTTCAGTTTTCAGCACACAACCAATATTTTTTGCGAGAAAACTTTTGGTCTATTCATTTTCAATCATGGCAGTACAACGAACACCGAAAATAATAAAAATTACATCCAGATTTGTAGACCACCTAGCGACGACTACAAGCGTCGCCGTCATCAGCCCTCCCTCGCCAGAGTCGGGCACGACTTGTTGTTGTAGACAGTCGGCAAGTCACCGTGCTAAGACCTTATAGGACAAGCGCACCAGAACAACAACCACCGCCGATGAAGAATAACGTAGATTGAACGGATCTAACCTGAAGCCACACGAACAAATCCATCGAGGATAGATCCGCCGGAGATACGCATCCACATGCCTACCAACGATGCTAGACGCACCATCGGAACGGGGATCAGGCGGCCGGGAGATCTTTATTCCATCTTCAAGGAGCCGCCGCCGTCTCGCTTTTCTGAACAAGACACAAACCCTAACAAATCTCAAAGGAATGAGTAACAACCGAGCCGTCCCGCCGGCCCTTACCAGGATCCACAACAATTGACGGGGTAAATATCACAAACCTCAACTCCAAAACGGGATCATCTACTCCTTTATTCTGTAAGACCGGATAAATACAACCCTCCCTCGTTGTTGGAATATCAGGCAAATTCGTGACTCATTTCAGTACATAATTCATGACAAGAACAATAATTAGCATGCAACAGTCTAACATACTAGATGAACAGAAAAAACATGCACGGAGCATCGCACATATAACAACAACTGTAATTCGAGACATGTACAGGTCACGGCGCACGTATTGTTCGTTAGTAGCCGTAGTTGCTGATGGAGCGATGTTGCTGACTACGATGCTGGTGACAAACTGATGCAAACGACGTTGAAGACAACATTGGGTACTATCGCCTGACTTAGACAGAAGACGACCCATGGTGACAAAATTGAGCAGCTGTCACAACACTTCCCTAAAACCCAATTCATCCGCTCATGGTGCAGGATCATAAGGATGAACGATTCTGGAGACCTGCTCTCTCGCACGTGGCCGCCCACCGGTGCTAGCCCAGGCAGCTTCCCCACCGTGGCCGCCCACCGGTGCAAGCCCAGGCAAGCTCAGGAACGCTTCCCCCCGCGCGGCGACGTCAGAGCCGGCGGTGCAATGTGTGAAGCAGCGGCTACTCCGTGTGGCCCTCGTTGCAAGCCCTGGTCTGTTTCCCCCGCTCAAAAAAATTAAAAATATTTGGCGTTCAATTGAATCAGAAATTAAATTTAAATGTTGCAACAAATACCTGGCAGCCAAGCAGATGGCCAAATTTGAACATGTGCCAAATCCTTCGCTATTTCTAGAGATTTACATAAAGTAATTCAAATTTAAATTTGAAGTGTGCTATAGTTTGTGCCAAATCCTTCACTATTTCTAGGATTTTGTGCGAAGCAAGTAGCAGAAATATGATTCTTTGTTTTCAAAAGTACATTTTTGCATCTTATTTGTGCCACTCTCTTTACACAAAAACCCCTCTTTTGACAGTTCAGAAATGATTTTTATTGTAACAAAAATCTGGAAAGTCCCACTTTTGGAAGCTATCCTTTTAGTGTTGTTTTTCAATACAATTCTCTGAAAATTGTGATGCA